AATATCATATATCATCTTGGTTACCAGAATTAAGGAAAATTGAGTCCCTCTGAAAACAGCAAACCCTTTTTTGTCGCACCAGGAGCAAAAAAGACACAGATAAATGTGACACTGATAAATGATTCTTCCTCCATGGAAAGTTGGTACGAAGTGTAACAAATTGCTCTTATCACATAGAATGTTTAGCACCAAGGAAACGTTTGATATGGATGGTGATTTATAAAACTGGTGCCTCCCAACCATTTCATTGAGATAAAACACACAAGGTACAGGGTGTATGTATACCATTCCAGAATGATATAAGATTTACCATAAACATTTAGGTGTGGTAAAGAGCAGACAGGCAGGGATTGACCAGGTCAGGAGTGAAAGAAAAGGTATGAAAAACAGGTTGGAAAAGTCTCATCATCATCATCATCATAGCAAACTTTAAGTTGCGGAGTATGGTTGCTCATTTCTTACATGACATTCCTTTCTTTGGAAAGGCATGTGGTGCTCGTTTCAAAGGGGTCAAATGCTTTACTGAGGGAGTTTCTTTTCTATATAAGCTAGTATGTATAACCAAGGAGGTTCTAGGGGACCTCCTTGGTATAACACAAGAAGTTAGGGGAGCAACTGCACGTTGGGTCAATTTATGTCACAATTCTATTCCATATTAATCCCTGTCTGGCCTAGTGGACTCTTGTATGTATCCCAACAACCCTGTTAGTCTTTCTGGCACCATATACAGGCATCATAATGATCTCAGGTGACAGCCCTGTTTACAAGTGTACAGCAAAAAATTTATCTGAAGGAGGATGTGTATCAAACTGGTTCAACTTCACATCAATTTGCGCTGTTTGTTCAGCCCTGGTTTGGTCATAATGGAGACAGGAAGTTGTGGGACGGACAGCTTCCTGTGATAAAGCCACTATACAATCCAACAGCTTCCTACAAGTGGGAGGCCGCTTCCTCTTTTTATGAGGTACTCAATACTGTTCTTCTTCCCACAAATCAAAGTAACTGACAATAACTTCATAATCTACATTACACAGTTTTCTCGTGAGAATCTGACATCCTTTGGTCCACTTTCGAGGACCCAAAGTGTTACCAAATCATTTAGTGGATGATGTCCCAGATATTTGCTACATGGTGACAATCATAACTTTCCATAAATTCCTCTTTTTGTTACGATACAATATTCTTTTTGCTACAAATTCCTGATTAAATGATGCTTTAGTTGTCCGTCAGCTATTCCATGTGCCAATCTGATATTTCACAATAATGCCTATTTAATAAGCCCAGAGACTTTGAGACAGAAATTGACAGGCCAATCAATATCCTGGGTTACATAAATTGATAATTGGAAGTCTGAGACTGTGTATTTACATTGGATTGAAGCAAAATACTTACGTTATGGAACATATTATAATGCCAGGATGCAGGAAGCCTTTATACTCAGAAGGGACAGGAAATCCTGCAGCTCTTCCAGAGAAAAGTTTAGACAGCTGAAAGAAATCACCAAGGCAAACTCCTTCAGAAGTTGAAATTTAACTGAAAAGTGTTGGCAGGCTACAGCATTTCACAAAGGACCCCGTCGCAACCTTTGCCGGGGAAAAGAGCAACAGCAGCATGATTGCAGCCCTGTGTTTCAGCTTGTTCTCCCTTCAGGGAAAGCAAAAGGTCATACTTTGTGTACACTTACCCTTTGTGATCTACAAATGTACTAGAGATCAAACTGGTCTCAAGTTGCACATAAATCAGTCACATGTCATGCTGGACTTTCCATTTTCAAAGTATTCTTGTGAATGGACAATTGAGTACATGGAAAGTAAATTAAGCATTGTGAAATTAGAACAATAGTCATCAATTGAACATCAAATTGACAAGTATACACACAGACCAGGTTCAAGTACAAAGTTTTAACTGCAAGCAGCTGCCTCATAATTTTGTACATCAAACTTCAAAGACAGTCCACGTCAAAGGGAAGAATAAATACACACCTCAATCAAGTGCAGACTGGTTCAGAGCAAAAACAACAGAGTTTAGCAACAGAAGGAGGCAAGCCTGGGAGATTATTTTTCTGGGACGGTGGTCGAACAGATGTAGCAACAGCTGGTGTGGCGGACCAGGAAGTGGCCAAAATCACCAGATTGTAAAGTAATAATGACCACAGATGTGAAAACTGTGGCTTGCCCTGTGGCAATGAGTTTGGCACAGGTAGCCGCAGAACAGCCAACAACTGGGGACATTGCACCTCAGGTATTTAATTAATTTAAGGAAAATGTTCTTATTAAAGTTCACAACCTGGTAGACTATGTATTCAATAGTTAAAGAGAAAACAATCAGTGACAGTTTTTCCGTCTTCCAACAACACAAAGAAACAAAAGCTTGTCGATCGTATATGTCTCA